GTTACAAACCCTTTTGAATCCAAATGGAACTGAATAAGCAAACCAACAAAGCACTGTTGTCAGAAGAAAACCTTGTATCTCCAAAATGGTAACTTTACAGGAGAAGGACTTTTACTGTAAGTCAATGGAACCAGATTTTTTTCCCCAAGTTTTTTTTGCCTGTTTCTTTTGGTCCATTCATCATGAAATTTACAGACAATGTAAAGGGCAACAGGTATTTTCAAATGTCAAAAAATGAAAAAAGGAAATATAAGGTTGTCTTCCGACAGCAGTGAAAAGAAACCTTGTGCATGTTTTATACAGTGATAGGAAACACAGAAAGGTCCAATTCCACACGCTGATGTGTTTTACTCTGACCAGCGTGAAACCATGGCTGTAACTCCTCTGGCAGCACATTTATGCGTGTTTAAGAGGCCTCTGTCATCATCATCAACACACTCAGTTCAATTAACTTTTCTATATGGTTACATTTTCCATATTTTGAAAATGTAATGTTTTGAATCATTAGTGAATTGTATTTCGGCCTGCAGGTATTTTGACACTGTACGATCTGACCCTCTTTGAAAAAGGTTTGGACACTCTTGTCTTAAGTAATCTCAAACAGAACTGTTTATGCACTTTCTGAACGTGTATAACAAGGTTTAAAAACCTTTTTCAAGCCAGAATGCACTTATTAAGGTGGTGTTTGTTGAGACTCACCAAATATTTTATAAAGTTAAATATGACAAACTTGCCAGACCCCTCAAGCTTTTAGTCAAACTCTACTCAATTTTACTATACCACTACACTATAATGTTACTATATCAACAAGAGCAAAAGTACATCCTGATAAAAACTTCAACATGCAAAGGTCTATTATTAGTGCTGCATTTCATTCAGTTCGTACCTTCACAATAAATACTGACCACATTACAACATTAATATTTACTTGGACATTATAAGTCTTATTTATATTTGTTTTAATCCATGTTGACAGCTTGTTTAGGTGACCGCTAGGGCTGTCAAAATGAAATCTGACATTTGAATATTCATTCAATTAAACAAAAAGGCACATTTGAATGCAGAAATTCAATTTCAGATTTGTAGATTGTAACTTACTCACATTATAACAAACAATGAAAACAAACAAAGGAGAATGTGACATTGCTGAACATAAATAAACAAAACAACTAATTACTTTGGCTAAATTGTAGCTGTATAGGGTTTTTACACACTTGCAAACATCTGACATGATTTTAGGGGTGATACATTTACTTTACAGGCAGACTTGAAAATCTGGTGTCTACTGAAGTTATTTATCTTAGTTATTTTCCTAAAATAATTAGATGGTCTTTAAAAAAAAATCCAAATAGACTTAAATATTTGACAAACAAACAAGGGGAAACTTTGAATTTGATTTCTGATCCCATCTGACAGCCCTAGTAAGCACTGTGCTCTGATCACCACTGGTGCTTCACCTGGAAATAACCAGTTAAATAGAGTGGAGTATTTGGTACAAGTTTCTAGCTGTATGTAGTTTGCAGCAAGCAGAAAAAACAGACTTGAGGATTTAATTGTGGGGACCTCACATCCCCTCCATCATTTTTCACTTAACACTAGATAGCTGAACTTTGTTCACCTTGTTTTTGCTGCACGCAGCAAGTAAAATGGCTTTAACTTCTGATATCCATCATTTAGCTGCGCTCTCATTGGAAAAAATGCATGTTATCCAGCTTCCCTACGATCCTTCCTTCCAACACTGCAACCCACAGTTTGAAAACCACAGCTAGGTAACACTTATCTATGGAAATGGACGAAAGCACATCACATAGCTAACCACAGTAGTAGCAGCAATGCTGAAGTCTGAACGTTGTCCGTACTTTTACTCATTTTAATAAACATACAACCAGTACGTCGCATAGCATCAGAAACCACTATATAATCTACATTAGCTTTGTTGTTACAGCACAAAACTACAGCAGTTTACACACCAAAGGAGTAGCAGATCAAATATTTGGCAAGCTAGGTTTACAGCTACCTCTGCCTTGACTGACGGACACCATTTGAGGTACGAAGAAAAACTTTAAATCTATATCCAAGCTGTAGGCTAGTCAGATCAGATCGTCACTGAACAGACTGGATTACTGAGTCTGTCCAGGGCAGATTAAAACTCAAGTATGTGTAGAGAAAACCTATTCCCAGGATCAGAAGCATGCCGTCTGTGTCCCAAGTGTGCACTAATCAACCTAAATATGAAATGCTGTAAGTGCTTTTAGATGTTTTGGTCCAAGCGTCTCCGCTGTAACGAGACAATGTGTCTGAAAGCGCTGCATGCTGACCAAGAATACCAACAGCGCACAGAGTTCTGTTAAACAGAAACAAGCTTTAAAGCCTATTTTCTCTGAACCCACATTTACTCTGCACAGGCCAGCTAGCCTTGCCCTTTCATCTGGGTAAACAGTCTTGAGAAAAAAAGGCCTCCCTAATACAAAAGGATGCTGACACCAGCAGAGGTTACCCAAACACAAAGGATGCAAAGCCACAAAAGAACACAAAAGCTTAATTCATATGCTAATAAGTGAGACCACTGTTTACTGTAAGATCTGTAACAATACTGTATTGAATATATCGCACTACGGAATCGCAAAAGACTACTTACTGTGTTGGCATCTTGAAAAATGAAAAAGTTATAACAAAACTGTGGGACAAAGAGGCGGTACACTTTACTCTATCTAGGCCGATTCGATTCATTTTCAGTTTAAACAGTAAAAGTAAGCATGGAACGCAACCGGAAGAAATAAAACAATTATTGGGATAAAAAAAGGTTCAAAACTGAAATTCACACAGACTTAAAGCAGATTTTTCAAATATCTTCAGTGTTATTCCCTCATTTGTCATCTAGTCCAAAACACTCAACCCATAATGTGCAGAAGTGACTGCATTCATATTCACACAGTTCAGAAAACTTCAGTTTTGGGCACCTTTACTTCAGTGCACACAGCTACAAATCATAAAGATGCAATATCATTAGGTAAATTATAAAGCATACACAACCATCAATTTAATGAAGGAATTTAAAAACACATACAGTGACTGAGAATTTACATTTGAACATTTCCGGTTACTGTTTTCTAGAGCAGGCTTTACCTGTGAACTCACTTTTTTTAAACACCACACAAGAAAGAAGAGAAATAGATAATAGTTTCACCTTTCTTGTGACAGCAGAGCATTATTTAGCTTACTATTGTAAAAATGCTTTAATTCAAAGCCAATAATGGATTATCTTGGCATGTTTACATGAAATAAAACATGCTAACAAAATGTAAGCTTACCATTGTGTTCACCAACTTAAGGAATCTTACATGGTCTTAAAACCTTAAAAACGTGATGTTGAAATCAGCAAAATAAATAAATAAACAAACATTTTCAGGCCAGAATCCACATATTAAGGTGGTGTTTGTTTCAAAACTCACCATAAGATAACCTTGTCAAGCCCTTCAGTCTTCAAGCTTTTAGCCAAACTCTACTCAATTTTACTATACTCTTGATCAACAAGAGCAACAGTACATCCTGATAAAAACTGTCAACATGCAAAGGCCTATTATTATATACACTACTATTATATACTTTGTAAGGTTGTAGAACAGAAAAATAATGGAAACACTTGTTCTGCATTTCATTCAGCTTGTACCTTCACAATAAAATACTAACCACATTACAACATTAACATTTACTTGGACATTATATGTAACGTTAATTCTGCTATTGGCTTGTATAATTCAGAATATCTTGGCACGTTTACATGAAATAAAACATGCTAACAACACGTAAGCTTACCATTGTGTTCACCAACTTAAGGAACCCAACGACATCTTAAAAATCGCGACGTTGTAATCAGCATATTTGCAAAAAGATATGAACAGTCCGGGGGTACAGAAGTTTGCCAAATAAACTACATCATTTTGTTACTTCAGCTCCATAACGTTGGCTACGCATCAGGAGGAAAAACATTCACAGCTAATCCTTCTTAAGCACTCTTAACTCGCCGCATCACAAAGTTTATCACTTCCACGACATTCAATAGAAGCATTCGCTCCCTTCAGCTACCTAACGACAATATGCGGCATTCAAGCATAATAACCATGTTTACTACAGGACTGACGTTTTCGCAGTTGATGTTTTCATGGTATAAACAGTTAAGCTACGCAGCAAATCAAATAATTAGCGAGCTGTGTTTACTGCTAGCCAGCAGCTCGGTAGTGGGTTAGGTTAGCTAAGCTAACTCGCAACTAACGTTAGCGCGGCATTACGAACCAAACTAACAAGCTTCTCTCGGATTCACGTTCAATATGCAGCCAGTATATCACACTGATAACGTCCAGCTATATCATATTTATTTTTCCCTTCGTGTCTTTCCCAGAAATAAAAGTAGCTACAATTTCCTCGACGCGAACGAAGCTGGCTAACGTTAGCTTACCAGATCATTTCTAGTGCAGGGCACTGGGTAGCTAACAAGCTAACAGGAGAGAACTCCCCTCGGTCCGAGCTGAGATGTTGATGGCGAGGCAATTAATTACGAAGTTTTTAAGAAAGTTAAGGAACGTCACTTAACTGCATAACGTATCGTTAAGCTCCCCATAAGTCAAACCCAAGTCTTCACATTGCTTGTTAACCCAGCTAGCCTCAACCTGCCTCGCTGTAATAACAGCGACTTGTTGTTAACTAGGAAGTCAGTTAGCATCCCAGGGCTAACTTAGCCGCTAACGTTGCTGGATCGCGAGCTAGCAGGCTAAGCACTGTGGGTGACGGGAGTCGTTGTCAGCAGGAAACAACATACATATTATTTGTGTTTCCTGCACTGTTTAGCTCGCAGACAGCCGCGCCAACACCACACGCTGGCGTTCGGCGATAAACCAGGCTTCACTAAAGAAGGATGCGGGGACTGTCAGTGTGGAAAACCCAGAGTCTCTCTCGCTCTCTCTCTCACTCCCTCTGTGAGTGATTCTCTCTCTCTCTCTCACCTCTTTGGGTACAAGCTGGTTCTCTTCGCTGGGCACCATTTCCATTTGGGCGACAGTTAAGCGGACATCTACCCGGGCTCCGATGTCAACAGCAGCTCTTTGCGGCGGTGTGGAGGAACATTATTCGCGTGTCAGCCGAAATCCAGGTAGACGTCGAAGCCAAAACCGCGCGGCTAAAAACTTGTTATCAAAGTAATCGCAGATACTTTCTCTCTGTTGTACCGCGGCCACAAACAGCAATCAATGGGGGTAAAAATGGCCGTCTCTCAGTTTCGCGAGATTTCAGCGGAATCTCTGCGTCACTTCCTAAACACTCAGCCTAATTATGTTGTTATGATGATGATGATGATGATGATTTGGTATAATGTGGGGTAATTAAATAAAATGAATCAATAAGACGCCCTAGTGTCTTTCTCCGTGTTTATTGTATCAAAAAAAAGAGACAATATTCACCTCCATACATTGGTTCTCTGTATTTCTTGTGAATGTCGAAAAAACGTCCAGATAATAAAAGTTAAACACGGACTGAACTCACTATTTTAAAGCAGACGTTGAAGGGGACGTCCACTGATTTTTCAAAATGTCTGTATAATTAAATCTTTAAGATGTAAACAAAGTAACCCAAAGGGGTTCGGTGAGAAATTATTAATTGTGGAGAAATTTTCAGACATACTTTTATTTGCAATGGTGGTGATGGTAACCAGACGTCAGAAGCGTTTAATGCCTTTAAAAACTACATCACAGAAAGTTATTACATGGAATGGTTTCAAATACGCTGCCTGATGCCTGAGACAGTATTTATGATTGTTGTTAGAATAACGTTTTGTCCTAAAATGCATTTTTTTAAAAGTCCTTTCATAACAGAGAGGTACATGCAGGTGTTGTGAGGCAAAACAGTCCCCACATAATTTTATTTATTTATATATTTTTAGGATTTAGCACTATTTTACCATCTTCAACATTGCAAATAAGAACAGAAGACATATACACCAGGCATAACATTATGACCACCTCCTTGTTTCTACGCTCATTGTCCATTTTATCAGCTCCACTTACTATATAGGTGCACTTTGTAGTTCTACAGTTACAGACTGTAGTCCATCTGTTTCTCTGCATACTTTGTTAGCCCCCTTTTACCCTGTTCTTCAGTGGTCAGGACCCCCATGGACCCTCACAGAGCAGGTACTATTTGGGTGGTGGATCATTCTCAGCACTGCACTAACACTGACGTGGTGGTGGTGTGTTAGTGTGTGCTGCGCTGGTCTGAGTGGATCAGACACAGCAGTGCTGCTGGAGTTTTTAAACACCTAAGTGTCACTGCTGGACTGAGAATAGTCCACCAACCAAAAATATCCAGCCAACAGCGTCCTGTGGGCAGCGTCCTGTAACCACTGATGAAGGACTAGAGGACGACCAACACAAACTGTGCAGCAGCAGATGAGCTATCGTCTCTGACTTTACATCTACAAGGTGGACTGACAGGGTAGGAGTGTCTAACAGAGTGGACAGTGAGTGGACACAGTGAGAAACAGATGGACTACAGTCTGTAACTGTAGAACTACAACGTGCACCTATATAGTAAGTGGAGCTGATAAAATCATAATGTTATGCCTGATCAGTGTATAGGCCCACTGGTTACCAGGAATAGCTGAAATTGCTATATTTGCATTGTGGACATCTCCACCACTGGAAAGAAATCCAAAGGTAGGTTTCACTCTGCACAATTTCACATTAAACCACTCTGAATGACTTTCTACAAACAGGTTATGCAGAAATATTGAAAAAATATTTTCATTCATGCTCGTTTATCTTATATCAGGACTGGCATAGCAACTTTAGTCACCATTAACAACCATTGTCAGCGTTCAGGTTACCAACAATCATATGTAGTGCATACTTAATGCATACTAAGGAATGAGATATTCACAGATGTATTTGTTTTGTGTGCGGCAGACCTCATCATGCCATTTGCCCTGCGCTGAGAGAGAGAGAACAACGCAGCTTTCTCGTTTGCCTCCTGTTGGTTCCTTCTTGGCACGATCCCAGTTGAAGTAAGTGATGGGCATGCTGTTGACATCGACGTATTGGCCTTCTTTCACTATGTCGGTCACACCTATCCAGAATTCTTTGGATTCTGGGGAGGTGTATTTGGCATATTCTCTTATATCGTTGTTCTCCTTCAGGTTTCGTGGCGTGGCCAAGGTCCCACCCTGGGCGATGCAGTCCTCGTTGGCCTCATGATAGTGCTTGGGCTCTTCCACAGCCAGGTAGCATTTCTTGTGGACTTTGATGCCACGAAGACAAACTGAAAACACACAGTTTGAGTTCCACACAGACACAAAGGCATTTTAATTTCAGTTTCATTTACTTCTTAAGTACTTTAGTGTCAGAGCAATAATAGCTGTATGAGAAACTCATTGACCTTGGTAGGTCAGAGTCCTACTTCCTGAACAATTTGAGCCATGACTGCTCTGTACTGCTCTGTACAGCATTAGGTGAAAAGTTACCCCCTTATGTAGTCGATCAGCCAAGATGCCTGAGGTTTGTTTGTATAGTTTCACGCTGGAGCTATGAGGCTAATGTAGCAAATAACAGTAGTTAGTGGTGGGTGGGGGTTGGGGGAGGTATCCTACACTTTTCTTGTATTTTATTTTTCCACTAAGGTCAACTTATAACATGTGTGGTTTTATGTTATAAGTGGACCCCAGGTTGTACTTTTTACGTGACCATTTTCCAACGTCTCCTCATCGTAGAATTAAGCAGGCTGTTTTTGTTACTGTGTACGGAGCCCTGCTGGTGACATCCCATATAAATAAAAATGATGTGTGGCCACGCTTGGAAACGCGACCCTAACGCGTGGCCACAACTTAGTAAGGCATGGGAACGAGATAATCAAGTTGTGGCGAGGACTTAGTAAGGCATGGGAACAAGATCAATAAGATTAGATAAGATTGCCTTATTAAGCTGTGGTCAAAGGTTTAATTATCTCATTTCCACACCTTGCTAAGCTGTGGCCACACATTAGGATCTCATTCCCACGCCTTACTAAGTCATGGCCACGACTTAATTATCTCGTTCCCACGCCTTACTAGGTTGTGGCCAAGCATTATTTTTATTTATACGGGGTGTCAACAGCAGGACGCTTTAAATGTGCCTTTAATAATGATATGAAATAAATGAGCTGTGTTCTGATTGGCTGCCCTGTAACTTCAGCGTGAACAGGTGGGGATCAACTGCTGTAGGCAGATGTATGTAAATACATAGGTTCTTGTGACATCAAAGAAACAATTGATTCAAAACGGGCTGTTTTTGCAGCTTAGTTATATGTATGAATTTTACATATTACTACAAACTCTTTATTTAAAAAAGTGAGGGACGTTCCTTTTTTCAAGATTTGGGCCCTTTACTTTGCTATTTTAGATCTCTCTACAGATTTACAGGGTTTTACGGCAGGTAAACCCGGTACACATGCCTTTCAGAGTAAATATAGGGCTATTCAGAGAGTAACAGCCTGCACAGAAGCACACTGTATGAGTCTGTGGTCGTCTGGTCTCTATAAGGCCACGGTTTCTCATGGAGCACTGCTTAGGTACATTCATGAGACTGAATCTATACTCAGATAGGCCTGTCAGCCTGTGGAATAAGGGGGTTCTGCTGCCCCCTACTGCATGACAGAAATACTACACCAAGATAACAATAACATGAATCAACAAATTTGGCTCCTGTGTACTCTTTTCCAATAGATTTAAGCTTTTATCTTCATCTCAGTAGAGTTTGTTGTTTCATACGTATGAGAAATGAAAAACATACAACATACAGTTGTGAAATAGTTGAAATACAATAAACTTTTAGCTTCAATCTACCTGTTTGCAATGCTTGCATCTCTTTCAAGGAGTTCACCTCCTGCCATAGTTTGTCAATTTGTGCCCTCACGTCGTCGTCTTCTGTCACTGCGTCTCAACCAAAGAACAGGTTCAGAGAGTCAATGTGATAAATGATAAATGATAAATGAAGGCATCTACTGATCATATTATCATGAGATTCAGTGTCTGAATCTACAAGGGAAAATGCTTCTATTACGTATTCTTTTTTGAGTTAATACAGTTTTTCATAACAAATTCTATTATAAGCATAACAATTGCGTCAATGACGGCGTGCACCTGAGCTGGACAAAACTGTGTAAAAGCCTCTAATGAGTAGATCGAATCCACCTCAGAGTCATCTGAATATGGGCTTTAATAGAGGCAATAAGACTAAAATCTAAACTTAAAATAGTCACCAGTTTGCTTCAATTTGAAAAGTGACCTAGAAATACTGCAGAATCTTAAATATTTCCAAATTTCTAGAACTTCCTGTTGTTCGTTTCCAGTCTAGAAGAAAAAAATCCCAGATTTTCAATGTGGACGTTTAGACCACACTACATGTGGCTGTTCCCTTGAAACTTATAATAGAAGCCACTGGGCAGGTGCTAAAACAATGGCCCATTGGCTTTATTATAAATGTGTTTTGAGTCACTGTGGCTTTTGTTCTTGTGATAAGTACAGGGAAATTACTGGTAACCTACTGTGCCCAGTATATAGAGATTAGGTTGAAACAAACTGGACTATTCCTTTAAGAGAACAAACACAATTAACATTTTTTACTTATTATTCCTACATGTTTCTTTCATGCTATAAAATGGAATCATTTCTCTTGTACTGTTACCTCTCTGCCGAGATGGGACTGCTTTTCTGGAGCGGGACGGACGGCCAAATCCGAGGTGGAGCAGTGTGCAGCCAAGCAGCAAGACAAGAAGGAGGCGAGCAAAAGCCATGACTGAAGCGGAGAGCGCCCAGCACAAACAGGGGCTACCTTTATATCAGTGGCAGAAGCCCCTAAGAGAGCGGACAACTCCCCAAATCCAGCCCAGCACTTTGCTCGCACGCTCTCAGCCCATTGGCTAAGAGTGCAGAGCTCCGAGAACGAGGACTGGAATACCGAGGGTGCGTTCAACAACAACCGTTCCCCTGTTTCCACTCATTCATAAATATTTACCTGGCCCAGCATGCAGCTCCTTTAGTAGTTTTCCCATTCATGAGTCAACAAGCCTGAAACTCATTGACTGGCTCAGTGTCACAGTACATTCTGTACCAGTTTGAACACCTTTTTCTGTCATTTTTTTAAAGATGTATGGCTTTATTACTAATCTGCATTATTAATTCATATTTTGTCATTTTGCAGACACTGTTATGCAGAACCAGTAACGGAATCAAGGGACGAAGTGAAATTTTGCCTCATTTATATTTAGTAAATAAATAGAAGTGAGTATTGAGTATAAAATACTAATAGATATATATCAGTACTTGTTGTGTCCACACTTTGCATTTATTACAGCTTCCATTCTTTTCAGGTCACTTTTAGTTTTTCAAAGAAATCTAGATGGATATTTTTTCCACACCTCCAAAGTTCAGTCTTAGAAGTTGATTGTGTTTCTGCTTCTTACAAGCCAAGCAGAGGGGAACACTCTGGGCCTTCTAGGGCCTTCAGAAAAGGCCTAATGATTTCTGGGAACTAAAAAAATGCATGCCATGCATTATTTAGTTCATTTTTATTAAAAACAATCATGATTGTATTTAAACTCTGCAAGTATTACAGCACTACTTTTTCATTGTTAAGTTTCATTGTTACGTTTTGGATGGAAACAAAAGGATTCAATTCTTGAAATCAGATTCAGTGGAAAATAGAAATTTGCCAATCAGGAATTGTTTTTCTGTGGTATCTAGGTAGATATAGCTAAGTGAGCTCTCCTACTGGTGAAGAGGTCAAGAGCTGAAGAGAAGGCCTCATGTGTCATGTGTATTAACCATCAGCATAACTACAACAATAGCAACAGAGGAATCAACAAATCATGGTTTGATTTCTAATATGTGGGACTAATTCTGTGGGAAAAATCTCACTCTGGGTCTTCTGGAAGTCCCAGATGTGTCACTGACTGTGAATATGAGCCTAAACAATGGGCTGCTAGAAATGGAAAACAGCGACGGCAGCTCTGTACCAGAGCTCACTACTGAGTCACTGTTAACCTGCTACAAGATAAAATATATGATAATATGTCTGTCACAAGCTTCAAGAAGCTTAAAGTGAGTGTGTGTTTGATCTAGAACAGCCAAAAATGTTCAATCACAAATCACTGTTACCTTAGCACTAACAAACTACTTGAATTCCATAGGGACACTAGCAGAGATTAGCACTCGGACTTGCTCTGACTCATGAATGACTCAAACTTGCCTGTAACTGACTTGCAACTCAACTCGGACTGCCCTTTAACTGGCCCGTGACTGGACTTGAACGTGCTGTTAACTGGCTCATGAGTGACCCACACTCACCTTTACATGACTTCCAACTTGACTCTGATTCGCCTTTACCTGACTTGCAACTCAACTAGGATTCGCCTTTACCCGACTCAGAAATGACTCAAACCCGCCTTTACCTCACTCGTAACTCAACTGGATTCAAATTAGCCCAACTTGCCTTTACCTGATTTGCGATTTGACTCGAATTCGCCTTTACCTGACTAATGAATGACTTTAACTCGCCTTTACATGATTTGCAACTAGACTTGCTTTGTTTTGACATTTATGGCCTGAATTGACGGCCGAGCTCTAAGAGTCAGTTCACCACTGGATCCAAATAATCCCAAATGCATTCAGTGATGTCGGGGTCTGGACACTGGGGTGGCCAGTCCTTTGTTTTGAGAAGCAGTGTCTTTGCAAGTGTTGTTCTTTTTTGTCAATTTCCTTTTCTCAGTAACAGCTTCTTGACCTTCTACACATCCTTTCAGACCCACAGCGCTGAGTCGTCTTCTCACAGTGTAAAGATGGACAGAAATACCTGTGGATGTTTTCAGATCTGAGGCAGCTTGATTTTCTCCTCTCTGTCAAAGATAAAAGCCTTAAGTACTGTTTATCGGATGTTGGCTGATGGTTTTGGTGGTCTACCAGGTCCTGCACAGGTATTAGGAGATCCATTTTCTCTACAGCTTTTAATTATTTTTTTAACTCCAGTTTTGGAAGCTCCTGCTTCTTCCTTGTTTTACATTCCCTTATGTAAGTGTACTATCTTTTATCTAATCACCTCAAAAATATTTCTGAAAATAAATAACCTGTACTTAATGGCCATTTTATCTGAAAATTAATAGTCTCTGAGTTTTGCACCATGCTGGATTTACATTACAAAAAGTATAAATAGACACATTGCGATGCTATGAATCACGGTTGACTGAGGTGAGCTGTAAGGCCATGGCAGGAGTTCAGACCATGTAGCTCCATAATAATATCTCCACTCACATTTCACCACTGTTCAGCTGATGAAAGATGACAGCAGGCCATGAGAAAATAAAAGTCTCTTCTATATTTGCCTTAACCAGCAGCTTTAAAGCATGCAGTAGAAAGTAGATGGCAGATTAGCACATCCTTTCACATTTCACATCTTGAAATAAACACTTCTTATTGGGCCCAAACTTTAGACGGTCTACTTTCAACTTTATAAATGACTATAAAAAATAAATATAATTGCAATAATAGCTGAACACCATCTGGGGGACCTTTCTGCTTCCTTTTACTTGTACTAGTGGTGGTCAATATGAAGATATGCTATCATTATTGTGATAATTTACATTACAGCATGTCTATAATAACCACATAAACTGCATAGGAACAAGTAGCTGATTGGATGTTTTCCCATTATGCCATTATCATATTTTATTCTTATCTTTTTTCTTATTTTTTTTATTTTCCTCCTGTTCCTTCTTCACATACTTTATTTTTGTAAACACTGAATTTAAGGGGCCACATTCTACATCTTTTTTAAAACTGTTTATTTTTCTCTGAGGTGCAGTTAGAATGTTTGGTTTAATGCACCAAAAACAGTCATAATTTATTTTTACATGACCATTTTTCTCTTTATCCCTTACATTTAAACAGGCTTATTTTTTGTTACTGTGACCTTAAAGACTAATATATGTAAATGAGCTCTGTTGTCAGTCCACCTTGTAGATGTAAAGTCAGAGACGATAGCTCATCTGCTGCTGCACAGTTTGTGTTGGTCATCCTCTAGTCCTTCATCAGTGCTCACAGGACGCTGCCCACAGGACGCTGTTGGCCGGATGTTTTTGGTTGGTGGACTATTCTCAGTCCAGCAGTGACACTGAGGTGTTTAAAAACTCCAGCAGCACTGCTGTGTCTGATCCACTCAGACCAGTGCAACACACACTAACACACCACCACCACGTCAGTGTTACTGCAGTGCTGAGAATGACCCACCACCCAAATAGTACCTGCTCTGTGAGGGTCCATGGGGGTCCTGACCACTGAAGAACAGGGTAAAAGGGGGCTAACAAAGTATGCAGAGAAACAGATGGACTACAGTCTGTAACTGTAGAACTACAAAGTGCACCTATATAGTAAGTGGAGCTGATAAAATGGACAATGAGCGTAGAAACAAGGAGGTGGTCATAATGTTAGGCCTGATCAGTGTATGTAAATGCACTGTTTTTTGTGACATCACAAATACAACGAATTCAAAATAGGCAGTTTAGTTTCCATATATAGACTGTATGGACTGGGGAATGAATGGTGCATTTTGAAGCTTCATCAATATTTACAATCTACATCAAACTCATTTACAATGTAATCGAGATAAGGCAGACTCAGTTCACTCACTGTATCTTTTTAAATGTGCCACTGCTGCTCTGCTGGTGCATTTTTTCCACTCCAGTTTGTTCGCAGACCTCAGAAAAACTAAATGTCATGTGTCATGAAAATGTCTTAAAGTGTTGTGATGTTCTATTTTTTGCCACATTACTCACTTTTAGCTTGGATGATTCCTTGATTGAAAAGATCCTCTTAAAGGTTTGCTTTTATGCTACCAAGAGGCTTATTAGATCACACAAACAAACTCACGCAGTATCATATGAAGCTCTCGTGAATGTTTTGTGCTGTGTACTAATACAGCTGCGCTACAGGCAGTTGAGAAGTGAACAGTGCATGTTTGTGTTTGCTGGGGCTGGTGATGAGGTGAGGAAGTCCAGTTCAGCGCTGTGTGTTCAGACGGGCCTATTTTTAGCCTGTAATGTTGTGAGACGGATGGAGGGAGGGAGGGGAAGAGTGTAAACAAGAAAAAAAGACAGATGTTTGAGAGAGTTCCCATAGATCATCTCATATGCACCCAATTCAATTTGAAATGCACAAAGCACTGACTGCAAATCATTTAAATCCTCAGAAAGGACAGTAAAAGAAAGACATTTAAAGGAATACTCTACAGCATCTATAGCACATTATCATGCACATGCTCGTCTAATGGACACCAATGGGCAGATGCATCATTAGCATCTATTGTAGGAGTGTTTTAAAGGGGAATTCCACTGATGTTTCAAAATTTCTGCATGATTCAGATTCAGATGTAAGCCAAGACATTTAGAGTGGTTTGATGTGAAATGGTTTACTGTAGAGAAACTTACAGACTCTTTTTTCTACAGTGGTGTTGATATGAACCAAGGTTTGTGACGTCTACAACCTAAATATAGCCATTTTATTTACGGGTTGACCAGTGAACCTACACGTGTCCTCTGAGGTTTTATATGTAATGTCGATGATGGTAAAATAGTGGCGACTATTTTGCCTCACAACACTCTGCATGCACCTCTCCACCATGAATGAATTTTAAAGGCTTTAGGCAGCGCATTTATAACCATTTTATGTAACGGCTTTCTGTGGGGCAGCTGTGAGAGGCATTAAGTTTTCAGACGTCTGGTTCCTATTACCACCACTGTGAACAATTCTGACCCGGTAAGATTCTCTATAAAGGCACATTTCACATAAAAATAATTTTAATAAATGGTGGAATTGCCCTTTAAGTAATTGTATTTCCTCTTCTTTGCTCAGTACAGATGCATTATCGTCTGTGGTAATCTAATGCATGTTATGGATGCAGTAGAGATGAAAAGTGCAGGAGTTTTCCTTTACTATGAAATACAGTGCACTGACGTAAATGGGCATCACTAAGAGAACTGCCACCCAATAATGTCTTCCGGCTTTGTCAGACACTAGAGGGCGTTCCTGAGCATGTCCAAAATGAATGAGTTCTTATGGAGCTTTTGTGCAAAATTGTGATTTGTAAACACTCATTTTAATACAGAAGAATACACTCGTTTTCTCAAATATACAATATTTAAACACTGCTGATATATATTTGAACCTATTTGAAATCCAGTTATAGGGCTAAAAACAGCAAGTTTAAATAGTTTCTAATCACTCGCCCAGAACTTTCCTTTAATTTTAGAAAGTAGAAGGATGTATTTTACTTAAAAAGCAAAGAAAACTCACCTGTATGTTTCCTTTTTTCTACAGCAAACGGGTTTTGGGCAGCAGAACGCTGGCATTACTGCTACCGAGTGCTGATTGGTTGGTGAGCAGAGCAGCTCATTGGCTGTTCGTGCTCGCAGACGTCATGAACGTACATGAGGCGCCGTTTTAAACTCCTATAACTCGAGTTCAAAAGCTCTTTAAAATATAACAGCAGTGTTAAAATGCTTTATGCTGTTCTGTGTTCAGGATATGAATGTATTATTTTACATTAAAAATGTTTAAGCAGTTATAAACTATGATTTTACTCAAATGCTCCACCACCCATTCATTTTGGACTCGCTCGGGAGCGCCCTCTAGCGTTTGAGAAAACCCGGAAGACATTACAGAATAATAATCCTCTCTACAAGTTCTCTTATGCAAATGTCCTACTGCTCAAAAACTGTTGCTGTAGAACAGTGGTCACCACGCCTGGCCCTGGAGATCTACCTGCAGAATCTAGTTCCAACTACAATCTGCCACGCTTGCTCTAGCTAATTAAGTTCTTCAGAAGCCTTTGATCTAAATGCACTAGTGTTAGGCAAAGAGCGGGAAGCATGTTAGATGCAGGTTGGAACCAAACTCTGCAGGACTGTTGACCACTGCTGTAAAAGATATATTGGTACGTTTTTTCAATTTTTTAATGGAATACATTTTTCTATTATCAAAAATTATAGGAAGTTCCAGCATCAGTGTCTAGAAACATGTATAATACAGGGTGTCCCAAAAAATTTGACATCATTTGAGACGTGAATATCTGATTAACTACATATCGTAGGCAAACGAAATTAAATAGGCTTCATGTTGAACAATACAAGATTTATTTATCAAAATTCGAACAGGAAATTCAGAGGGATGTAGATTTTATAACCGATTTCACAGCTTCACAAAATGTAATATCTTCCGATACTGGTGGTCGTCCAGATCCCTTTGCCCGGCACAGACAGCCTTCCTCTTTTAATTTTTTGTGCCATGTCCAAATCTGCTTTCCAGTTGGTCCATTTTTATTAAATTTTCTCAAAAATGCTGCTGCACACTCTCGTTTAACTGTGTTCGAGCACATTCTAACACACAAAATGGCTCTTCATTTCTAGTGAACGCCATTCTTTAACCTGAAAAACTTAAACTTGGTTAGTTTTTACACAGTTTTTTTTAAATTTGAGATCATTTGAGGGAGAATTGGCTGTTATTAGACTACGAAATGATGTCAATTTTTTTGAGAGACCCTGTATGTCTTTTTAAGCTGTTAAATTCCGTTCATTCACTCATGGACTCTGGCATTGTGCAGTCATGTTGATGGTATGATGGTAGAAATAGGAATCGGCCTCCGCATTAATTGGCTCTGTCAAATAGCACTTGCATTTGAAATTGCATTCACATTCAACTAATTTCTAGACCGCTGATAGTGTTGACAGATATTAGCCAGGCACATTACATAAGCATTCGTGTTATGAAAATGAGAAAAAATACAGAAACACATTCAGGCTGTCTGACTTGCCCTGCAGTCCAAAGGAAAAGGTCAAGCATTTTCCATATCCTACTCATATTTTAGTTATCTTTATAGCAAAGGCTGAGAAAAGGCCACTGGCTGTTATTTCTGTAGATTGAAAAGGTTTCTGTTGTTCTAACGGATAGAGTTGTCATCTCCCAGCACAGCCGTGGGGCTTACTGAAGAGGAGAAACAATCTATTTGACTTCTCAATCACGGCTTTAATCAAACATCCTATTTCTCAGCATTGGGAGAGATCAGATAAGAGCTCCACAAAGCACAAAAAGAGAGTCAGCCTGCGCATATAAACCCAACCTGAGAACAAAAATGACAAAACACAAAATGCTCTGCAGGTCTTTTTTTATTGTAATAGAACTGAATTTCTATGCACAACATAGTAAAAGCACTAATCACCAGCTACTACACCTAAACGATACGCAGTTCTCTGCCTGTGACTACACTTAACACACTGACCGAGTATGTGGTGTTTACTTTTTAAGGCAAATCGATGACCTTTCGCACACTTCAGGATCATCTACACACTGAAACAAAGATAAAAAGACACTTTCAAACACAGCTTTTGTGACTTCATATATTTCATATATTCCTCTGCGTCCTAAGTAGCGCGCTGAAAGAAGACTGAATGTGCGTATCACTGAACTGAGGGAGCAAATTCTCTTTCATTTTATTTCTAATAAGAAGTTCTATTTCCTATTAATAAATGTCACCATAAGAACAGCAACAGAGGTCAAAGATGAGAGAAATGTTTGCTGTAAGATTAAGCATGTACTAATAATAGTAGTAAGCAGTAAAGTACATTTCTGTCCTTCAACCACAAGCCATAATCTTGTATTATCAGACAAGGAACAGCGTAGTACATGACTGAGGCACAGGAGAACTCAGCAGGTGTGTTAAAATGATGCGGAGTGGTAATGTATGCAGTTAAGGCCCTGTCTTTGCATGTTACACTCATTGGCCAGTTTATCATACGGTGAATCTCAAAACTCTCACTGATGCGTCCTTGATTCTCTGTCATACTTTATAGATGTTATCAGCTTTTCAAATGTGCTATTGTGGATAGACGAGGCTTCCAGGGCGAAGAAAACATGCTAAGAGAAAGTCCTTCTTTGCTGTAACATGTGACACACACTTATGAGCCAAAACATTATGAACCCTCACAAATCAAGCCATTAATGTTGATTATTTCATAAACAACAGGGCATGTCAAGGTCTGGGACATATTAGTTGGGTAACCGAACAGTTGGTTCTTGGATGTGCTGGATGTGGAAAAATGGGCAGCCATGAAAGCTGAGCCAAAGACCAAATCATTATGGCCAGATGACTGGGTCAGAGCATCTCCGAAACAGCAAGGCCAGTGGGATGTTCTTGGTCAGCAGTGGTGAGTACCAACGACAGGAGTCTGAGGAGGGACAGACCACAAACCGGTGACAGGGTAATGTTCTGCTGGGAAACCCTAGGTCCACATTCATGTGGACGTCAGTTTGACACATGCCACCTACCTAAACATTATTGCGGACCAGTTACCCTCCTTCACAGCAATGGTTTTCCCTGATGGCAGTGGCCTCTTTCAGCGGGATAAAGTGCCCTGCCACTGTTTTAGCTGGGTTGGAGCTGTTTTAGCAGTACATGGAGGACCGACAGCATATTCGGCAGGTGGTTATAATGTTTTGGCTCATCGTTGTATGTCTGTGATCTCCACTCTTTGTTTTTATTTAATGATTACAGTTAATAGAGCGTTACTGTGAAAGGTTCATGTTAATTTAACTGTAACTGTTGATGTGGTTTCAATAAGGCCTGCACATGTAAATAGTCATTTGATAATAGGATATATGTGTCTCATACTGGCAGATCCCTTAGGCCTAGTAACAAGCAATGAAAGTGATGATTAATCTCATTTGGCAAACATGTTTTGGCATCAATTCCTCTGTCCTCACATCTTGTCCTTGCATCTACACCCTTGCAATTAGCCCATCTGTTGCTGCAAAATGTATCAGTCCCCCTCCATCTCATTTATCAATGGAAAAGGATCACCATAAGACAACCGCTGATCAGATATCACTTGGGCAGTGGACTAATCTCAGCACAGCAGAGACGCTGACATTGCTGTGGCATGGTGATGTGCTGCGCTGGTACAAGTGTATCATGCACAGCTGTATTTTGGACTTTACCGTACACTTGATTCACCTTACCTACAGTGCTGTGCAAAAGACAGAGACCACCCTCCATTTATTTAACATCAAATGGTAAAATTTATATACTATCAAACCAGTCGAAACTGGCCATCACGATTTCTGAGATTAGATATAAGATTGCATAAAGAAAGGAAAAGTGAAAGAAAAATTAATTAAAAAAATTCCAGCGGTGTTTTGTCCATCCTTCCACTGTAGAAGACAACTCAATGCTATGGGTCTAAAAGAAGCTGTTCTTAAAACAAGGAAAGCTGCTAGTGGTCTCAAAACAATGGACTGGCCACCGCAGAGTCCAGACCTCAACATCCTGAATGTGCTTGTATCGTAAGAAGAAGAAAATGCAACCAACATGTAAGACTGAACTTGACAGCAAGCCTCCTGAAAAGAATTACAATTACTTTTTGAGGATTCTGTATAATTTTCTGTTACATATATGTTCTGCTATTTTCCCTGATGCTGAAAATGAATGGCGCGTTTGACTAATAATGCACTCAATGAAAAGTGGCCTCTGACTTTCGCAGACTAATGTACCTTGTTGGTCCACCTTTCAGGTGTACAGTTAGAAACTACAGCCTTCTTTTTCCAAACACTATTAGTGTTAGTCATCCTCTAGTCACACCTCTGAGGTGTGCAAACAACTCCAGTAGCACTGCTGTGGCTCATAGTAGTGCGACACCCACAAACATGCCAATAACATGTAGGTATCACTGCTGTGCTGAGAGTGGTCCACCATAGATAATATCTGGTCAGGAGTCGTCCTGTGTTGGTCCGAATGTTTACTGTGGTAGAGCGACAGATGGGCTACAGTTTGTAAGCATACAAAGCATACAAAGTCCACCTGCATGGTGGGAGCACTTGATAAAATGACCATTGAGTATACTTACATGGTAGGTTTACATAATAAACTGGCAACTCTGTGTATTTCTTAAGTCTATAACTCAACACATGCCCTACAAGATAAACACTATACATCACACGTGTGCAGGCAAAATAAGATCAGTCTGACTCTGAAATTCAGCTCCATTGCATTTCCCCCGGGTTTGCCACTCAGAATTGGCTTCAAAGAGTGCTTCAAAACAGCTTGCTGCAATACCTCGCATCAATTATTTATGAGATACAAAACGGAAAAAGAAAGGAATTTGCTGTGTTCTCGCTCCTGCTTGTTGTGTGCCAAAGGCACTATGAAAACTGTCTTAGAAGGGACACAGAGGACATGGCTGTTAATGGACTGCGACAGAAAACTACAGTGAGAGCTCAACAGCAGAGACTGGCTGTTCTAAGACTGAATAATGTGTGGCCACTGGAATAACTTGCCAGCAACTAACCCCCTCAAAAATGAACTCGAATGAGAACTTAAATGCACAACCTACTTCTTGAACACAGACGTATGCATGTTTTTTTTTCCTTTCTTTCCTCACTAATCCAACACCATAGCAACTAACATACAATTGCGCTCTCTGTCTCTTTCTTTCTCCCACCTTCCTGCCATAGAACATCTATAGAAACCTCAAACAATTCTTCTGAAAGGAAAGAACACTGTGACATTTCAATACTGCGCTAGGAATGGCACTTGAGTTGGACAATTGGCAAAAAGGGTTTTAGACTTTCAAACACTGCACAGGTCAGACGGACGACGGACGCACGTTCATACACTTCACGACAGCATGGGGTCACATGGACGGTCCTGGTCCAGTGACAGTCTCTTATTCCATGGGAGCGTCCACGCCTGGACTGAAGTGGAAAGGCCTACTGGATGAAGGGCATTCGCTCCTTGTTGTCGTTGTCCCCCTCGTGCTCCTCCTCTTCCTCACCTGCCTCGCTGGTCTCCGTGCTGTCACTGGCCATCTGGGGCACAGCAGATACACTTGTTACTTTATTTGCTTTGCATAAATTGTGAGAAGGCTTTGTATCCCTTCAACAAGTAATGACAGCCAACGTTATGGCCAAAAGAATGTGGACACCCCTTCTAATTATTCATTTTAGGTGTTTCAGACACACCCATTGCTAACAGGTGTATAAAATCAAGCACATAGCCATGCGATCTCCATAGACAAACAGTAGCAGCAGAATGAGTCGTACTGAAGAGATCGGTGAGAGGTCAGTCTGTGAGATTTCTGACCTACTAGTCAACTGTAAGTGCGATTATTGTGAAATGGAAACATCTACAAGCAACAACAGTTCAAGAGTGATGAATCACGCTTCACTATCTGTCAGTCTGACGGACGAATCTGGGTTTGGCAGATGCCAGGAGAACTCTGTAGTGTTCATAGTGCCAGCAGTAAGGTTTGGTGGAGGAGGGATAATGGTCTGGGACTGTTCTTCAGGGTTTGGGCTTGGCCCCTCAGTTCCAGTTAAGGGTAACGTTAAGCAGTTTGGGGCAGGGCAGCTTCATATTAATGCCCACGATTATGAAATGGGATGTCCAAAAAGCTCAGATGGGTTTGATTTGGTATTTTTGACAATACAGTGTATTGTAATGTGAAGTGCTACACTGTAACAAAAGTACCATCAGTGTACCAAAGTAGTCATTCAGTCAAGACTTGTCTAAAGTTTAGTTCTTTAGGTTCACACTGGAGCTATGAGGCCAGAATAGCTAACAAGCAACGGAAGCATAAACCCTACCAAACAGCACAGGATTTTGGAGTGTGTCTGTGGGAACTTGTGCCCATTCAGTCAGTAGAGCTTTTGTGAGGTCAGGCATTAACGTTGGATGAGAAGGCCTGGCTCACAATGGATGTTCAAATTCATCCCAAAAGTGTTCAGAGGGGTTGAGGTCAGGGTTCTGTGCAGGCCACTGAAGTTCTTTCACACCACACTTGTCAAACCATGTCTGTGTGCTTTAAAGGGCCACTTTGGCCAAAATGAAAAATGCCATTATTGCTACATCTGTTGTAAACATGCCTACTCGCATCCTATAGCTGCAGGAGTCTCTAGACAGAGATTTTCTAGTTTTAAAAAACCCCCTCTGATGATGCATCTTGAAGGTGAGAGGAACCTTTTAAAAATTGCTTTAGGGTGGATTTTTGGCAGGCTTTTCGATTTTTTTTTTTTTGTAAATGTACCAGGAGGGCAGGAGGAAGCCAAATATCTTGCTGCAGCCCTACAACTACAGTAAATGTCTCCAAATCATCATTAAAATAGAGAACATTACTCCAATGATAGACTCGAGCAGGACAAAGCTAAAGTTAGCAAGGTAGTTACCACAGCTGCCTACATGCTTCAGTTTCATGTCTCTGGCTGAAAGGTTAAACACCTGTCTCTGGCATCAATTATGTGCCAAATAAGGACAGAAATACTTTTCTTCACAGTTTTTTTGATGAGGCAGGTAAGAGTTACACTAATGGGTTATTTTCTCACAAACATGACAAATAAGAAAACAAATATTTGTAGTAATTTTTAGTAACATTTTCCAATTTGAGTGACCAAATTTTCATTACTGCAACACAGCAAATGGTCATTAAACAGCAACATTTGAAGCTAAAAGTGTAAATCTTGTATTAAAACTTATTTTTTTTAATTGTTTTTATAGTCTGCATAACGTCTGTGCAGTATGTTGTGAAATATGTTTGAATTATTTAAACATATATTTCACAAAATATGGTATTTTGCAATTTCACATTGACAGACACTGAGGTTTTTCTCCTTTTACATGTGCCACATCACAATTTTAATGTTCAATGTTTTACATTCATGTCACAAACATTAAAATTAAGGAAATCAACAGTTACACAAGCACTGCAAAGCAATAAAGGTTTCTAACTACAATAAACAACAAAAAATGCTAAATTTAGTAGAGACAGATATGTGGACAAATTGCAGCAATAAGAAACAGGATAAACAATTCCAAATACCTTCAAAATAGGAAAAACAAATAATGTAACTTTTTTCTGTACCATAGAGATTCAACTGATCTAATAAACCGTGACACTCAAATATTTACGGACATGCTTTAACGCAGTTTCACGAGAATGACCCTAATGTACATGTCAGACAGTAATCCTGACGGGACAAAACACTGCAGACTTTAGTGTTCCTCCTCATTTAACACACCTGATTCAATTCATCAGCTAATCAGCAAAAATCAACATTGAATTCAGATGGAAATGCTTATTTCTTCAGAGCTGTGGCCTGGAAGGAACCGAGTTTGACACCACTGCACTAATGCTAGATTTGCGTAATTATTAGCCTATAGCTTAGTGGCTAGACTAGCAGTTAGGACTGGTTAACACCACAGGGATTCCCAATGGTTGTATGATGCATTTGTGTCATAAGCTCTGGGTATTGCAGTGACAGAAAACTAAAGAAGGAAAACATGAAAACAATACAAAATTGTTTTCTGCCAAATCAATAAGGCTAAGAGATATAATGCTGCATTACAGATGTTAAACTGAAGTTTAAGACTGAAATGCTCCATCACACATTTGCCTTAAACTGTTTCGAGCTGTTAAAATAGACTTGTTTATGTAATTTCTGGCTCAGTATAGCATACTGTTGTCCATAAATATAGTAATTATGATTTGTAAGGATACTTCGCTCTGAGTTGCTTTTTTTCCTATGTACTTGCAGCTCTTTTCACACTATAAGAACAGGTCATTGGGTTCAGCCTCAACTTTCTGTGTCTGAGACAGTGCACTATGGCAACCCATCTCTTAAAGCGACAGTTCAGTGGAAAATCTAACTTAAACCCTGAATGTAGTCGGTCAGCTGACATACATCTGGTGTTGGAAGATCGCTTCTTTAATTTTAGTTTAGTTTGAAGATATGAGGTGGTGATGAGTAGAGTGTGCACAGATTACTCAAGTATTCAAATTTGAAGCAAAACAAACTTATCTCAGTTTCAGTGGCTTGTCAGCTGATGATAAACAGAGAAAAAAATAGTTTGTGTAATTAACAAAGGAATAGACATCCGTTTCTATCCTATTTATCACAAGTAGACAGAAAATGGACAAAATATGTTCCATTGTTAGTGGCAGAGTAGCAGTCATCCTGAAGTCTCAATTGTTTGTGCACTTTTATCTCTTTTATAGAGAAAAGTAACAGTTCGTCATACAGTTAGACACCATATTAACAAGTCTATTTTAGATCAACTCAACAAGGTTTAAAGGCAAGTGTATGATGATTTTAGGCATGCTATGTGCACAGTGCTAACTGATGATGCAAAGCTCCTATTACTATAGCTATAGCTCAAAATGAACCCGGCAAATTTTAGACACCAAACATGTTCTTGGTGATTTCTATTTAAAGTATGAGGAAATATTTGTACATTTGATTCTTCATTAAATTATTCCTCTGAATGTTTGCTTTAGGTGCTCCTTTACCATACAGAGTTGTTCTAGAGGTGGAGATAACCTGGAAGGATGCTTTCACAAACCATTATTTCTGCATATTCCCTCAGCATCATGCTGTAGGGTCTCCATGGAAACGCTGTCCTGTGATTCTCCAATCACTGTCACCTATCTTTTCCTTTTTTTAATTTTTTTTTGCTTTTTCTTTTTTGCTCTGTAAACAGGTGTGCTAAGTGCTCCCTTGTGGTCTGCACTCAGCCAATTGTTCTTTTTGTTTTTGGACTGTTTTGAATAAGCGAGAATGATGCTGTATATCACGGTTCAATGCTGCTGTGAAAAGAGACAAAATTAAACTGTTAGAAGCGTCAGCACCTGGGACAGCAACGTCAAAATCTATCAGCTATTTTGCCGTTTGTAGTTCGTTGTTTTGTCTTTTTTTATTATTACTATTTTGAATATCACCTGTTTATTGCTTGCAGCTTTAATACAGTCCCTGTGACTTACTCACCAAAGGAGTGGGAGACTTCTCCACATCCAGAATCAGCTTTCCTATGTTCCCTCTGTCATGGATTCTCTGCATGGCCTCCTTCACCTAAAGCAACAGAAGACATACATGTAAAATCCCACTATGCAACTACAAGTATGCTCCTCACTTCTAATGCAGTGAACAGCTTCTCTCTGAAATAACTACTTTCTGCAGCGCTATAAAGTCTACAGAGGGTGGCAGTAGAGTTCAACATAATTAAGACAAATCTACAAATTTCCATTTTCAACGTGTCTGTCAGTCAAAATGTCTCTCAACAACAACATAATTACAAAAAAAAAAACATTTTAGTCACTGCTGCATGAAAAGTAAGAAGGAGGTGAACCTGCAAAACAAATACTGGCGAAGAACACGGAGAACCATTATGCCACGTTTGATGGAAAATAATAACTGCGCTGACAGAGATGTGCTAAATCACTCTCAGAGTCGTGCCATTTAGAGCTGCTCTGAGACAGGGAACCAGGATGGATTTTTCACAGCCACAGACAATACAAATTTGGACTGTCTGCTGCTTTCAGCCCAGACTAGAGGTATGAGGTCAGACTCCAGCCCCAGACACTTGTGCAAAGCCATATCTGAAAACCGGCTGCAGCAGATACAGAATATACTCAACTTCTTTACATTCAAGAAGACACAAGCACAGTTTTCCGGTATACATTTAAAAGTGATTTTCTGCCTTATACCAAATGTAGTCAGTCAGGAACGACGTTGTGTCTACAGCTGCTCCCTTGTTTTGTATTAGAGCTATGAGGCTAATGTCCAGACAAGTAATGGAAGCTTATGACCACCAATTAGCATTGTGCAAACTCAACCACAATGAGTCATCAAGCAATCTCAAGAAGACTTGTTTTTGGGATCTCTTTACACAGACTCCAAACTGTAACTAACAGACACCAAAAATGTTTAAGTGTAACATTGCATTAAACTTACATTTTGCAGTTAAATGCCTAGTCAATGGCTTGTCTTGGAGGGAGGGGGAGCACACAAATTTGACCGGCCACTTGGTTGGCCCCCCTCTAGAGTTGATGATCGATAGGTTATTAGATTGTCAATACAGATTGTCAGTAGTCCATGGATAAGAGTTTGAGAGATAGATGTAATATATAATGTCCGCTGATTCTTTTTAAAGTTAATTCTGTTCTATTAGGGCCAAAATGTTCCAAGTCTCAATGCATGTATTTAGTTTCCTACACAGTGAATCTTTTTTGCAATGCTTTGTTTTCGAGAAACCGTTGCAGCAGTATTTTGTGCATGCTTCTAGTGGCATGATGCCCGCGCCAAGTGGAAAAATTAGACCGAGGTGGTGCGAGCCAGTATAAAAGGCTACACTCATTAGCAGGTTTGATGCTGTTTCTCTGGGGGAGTTTATGAAAAGTAAGGAGTAAAACATACAGAAGTCTCTTTGGATCTTTTAGCATTAGGAGAATGGAACTGGGAGGTGGGGCGGTGGGAGGTGGAGGGGTGGGAGGTGAGGGTAGACCATAGTGTGGCAGGGCCAGATATGATCTCGTTGTGAGAATACACGTCTGGGTCAACTGTTGGACTTCAGTGCCGGTACGTCTCCTCTAAAGGGTGTGCTCTATTAACATTTGGAGTATAATCAATATCACAAGCTAAACAAGCTAGCTAGCAAACTGCTGTTGTCATCTACTGTTCTTTCCTTGCAAAACGGGCTAGTGACAGGTTGTCTGTCGGATCGGACAATGTTGGCGAGTGCATCATCGCACCGCCGCATTCACGAGGCGTTTGATTGGTTAAGAAATTGCACAATCAAATTGTTCTCAACCTAAAAAGTATACCTTCAACCGCAAATTTCTCGTTTGCACCTAGACGTTCACGTTGGCACAACCGTCAAAGCCAGAGGTCACTAAAAGGCGGACCGCAGTCCGAGTCCAGACCCAGATGCTGTCCTATGCGGACCTGGACCTATAACCGATAAACTATGGAGAATTATTTAATTACGACGGGAATGGTCCTATTTTAATCAGCGTAACTTTTCTAGCCTTTACAGTACTGCATTAGTGGCCTGGAAACTCACAGACCAATCACATGCGTTGTAAATATCACATGTGACGCTACTCAGCCAACCAGATCTGTGCATTTCGATGAACACAGAGACTCGAGTGAGTGACGCACACACAGGGGAGGGACGAGGTGAGAAACAGCAGTCGGAGGAGAAAGTGAGTCAGAGGGAAGTTATTTCACATGGCATTCTTTAAAAAGAGAAAACTAACAATAAATATTGTTGAAATATGACTGAATTGTACTTTATTTGATGTGACATTCAGTTGTTGACTACATAAGATGTTGACATACCTACTAGGCTACTTCAGTTTACAGTATATGGCACTGAATCATGATGCAAGTTAGACATTATGATGTTCTGGACCTTTGCTTTGAGGATATTTTCTCTAACTGGACCTTACTGAATTTTAATTAAAGACCCCTGGTCTAAGTGTTGGCCCTATCAACAGGAGATCACAGGTTCGATCCCCTGGTGATGCTACAGCCATCTGTGGCTTGGAGTCCAAGAGAGCACAATTGGACTTGCTTTCTGGGTGGGTAGGATGGACCCCCTTCTCCCCCCATCACTTAGCGCGATGCTAGTCAGCGCAGGCGTCTGTTAGCTGGCGTAACAGATCTGGCGGTTGGTGCTTTCTTCCGAGTGAGTTCGGCTGTCCAATGACGTTGCGTGAGCGGCAGTTCGAAAAGATGCGGTGCGCTTCACAGGTCTTGGAGGAAGCCTGTACTAGCCTTTGCCCTTCTAGTGCTGGTAGTATTGTGTGATTGGGGGAGTCCTTACTAGTGGGTGGAATTGGAGACGACTAAATTGGGAAGAAAACTGGGGACAAAAACCACAAAAAAAAAGTATTTTAATGGTATGGTTTTCATTTGAGATAGGACCAAAACTATTGCTTTAAAGACAGAACTAGCAATGCTAAGCAAACTTCACACTACATGCTTTTCACCATTACTGAACTGTTTTTTTGTCACAAATGTCATTTTTATCCAACATTGTCCTTGAAAACTGCTGCTTTTCCACAAACAAATTTCAGCCATTAACAAACAAATGTCAAGGTTGCTTATCTTATCCTGATGGTGACCTTTTAAAACACAGATGGGCGACCATATGGGCTCAAACATTCACCTGCAATAAGTTTAGTACTGTAAGTGAAAACAGAGAACTCCACTAGCAAATTCACTCTTCTTTCTTTACGTGTCCCGATATCACCAATAAAGTTTTTGTGTTTCAGAGATGTGTACCTTGATAATCAAATCCCTGGATGTCAGCTCTTTGAAGATCAATGTGCAGCAGGTTGCTGGTGCTTTTTCCTTTTGTGCAAAGTAATAAAGGCTGATGTAAGACCTTGGGGACCTGGCAGCCTTTTCAGCCAATGTGACTGGTAGAAGTGAACATGTCTAACACCATAAATGCAGGGTTAGTGAAGGGCTATTGTAACGAAGTCCCTTAACCAGGCAGATACATTCTGTACAGAGTCAGGCGTCTATACCTGAGACATGCTTGTGAAGCATATATAAAGCAAAAGCAATCAGAAGTGCTTTTTTCTAACAACAAAGCACTGCTAATCTAAGCTTCTACAACAGACTGTTATATAGTTCTCCAGAAATGTACAGATGAAATAATTACCGCCAGATGGTAAATGTTAAGAACATAAAGCTGTGCTCTGTATGTCACATTCTGTGTGTCTCTTTATAAGCCTTAGTTCTCCTAATAGGTGCTGCCTTTGTTTCATATCCATTATGTCTGATTAAAGCAGTGTGCTGAGATTTGCCTACTCACTATTTCTGCACTCACGGTTCGTTTTATAACTTGAAGCTGATTTTTTAAAGGGCCCGTATCATGAACAACCAAACTTTCTTTGCTTTTTTGACATAAAACATAATGGTACATAATACCACAAAAAAACATTATAAGTAGATTTCAGGAGGAAAAAAAGATCAATGTAGAAGGTGTCCTACGATAGATATCATTATCAGGATAAATTACATTAAAATATGTCACAATATGCTTTTCTGAGCTTTTCGTAGATATTGTCAGTACTTAAAAACACTTCCCAACTACTTGTTTGATTAAAAAGAGAGCATAGTTAGTCCTGTTTAACTGGATTTAATGCAGCACTGTATATGAAATGTTGAATATGTTTCATTGGATTCATAGTTTTCGATAGCATTTTTAAATGTAGCACTACTTTAGCTGTTCCAAGTGATCAGATTTCAGAAAAAAATTAGTATCATCATGAAAACATCTTGAAGTATCATGATATTACATTTTTGCCATATCGCCCACCTCTATCCTACAGCTATTGTTGTATTCTTTCCTTCTTTGTCTGAATAAAACTGTACATTTCCAAAATATTTTATATACTGTCACAAGAGAACTATTTAATACTACACAGATACTTATTGTTTAAAATTAGTAAATCCATTCATGCAGGAGTGACGCAAAGCATTGTAGGGCCAAACAGTCCCCCAAGAAAACTATGTAACACATAAAAACTCAGTGGTCATTTTGGACATAAGACACTGTGATTCCTGGTTCCTATCATCACCGCAGTGGATTCACTTCTCTTCCGTTTCACCATTTCACTTCAAAAAAACACTGAATTATCCTGTTTACATCTCAATTGTTGAATTATGTGTTTCCTGTGTCCTTAAAAAGCTCAGCTCCTCCCACAAATTAAGTAATTCACCAGCTGCCCAATTAGCCTATCAGGCATTACCACCCCCTGCAGCATCAATAGCTTAATCTGTAGCTTCTTTCTGCAGCCCCCTAGTGGCCAGTTCACCAGCAGAACAGAATCAACCCAATCAAATAACATATTCTTCCTGTAACTCTTTTGTGTTGAGCAATGAGGGGTGAAAACCCCCTTCTGTGAAAACAATTCACACCTCTCCACAAAGACGACTGTGCTGAGATAACATGGACAGCACAACTGCAGCCTCCTACATATTAGATGTGAGCAATACGACGATACTTGCATGATAATACTATATGCTTTTCTGAGTGTATCATGGATATTATCAGT